TATATACAGGTGAGACCTATATAGATAGCATTCAACGCACTGTCTTCACCATCACAGACACTGTGTAATTGTCCCAATTACCCAGGAGATCGTGTTACCACTTTGGCTGACTACCTGGGTAGAAGGCGGGCCGGCTGTGGCAGGATGTTTGCAATTGAGTTAATAATGGAGCACTGTGGTTTTGCCTGGAGACAGGCCTTAGCCATTCCTAGTTAACTGTAATTAATCTGAAGTGTGAAATTTACCCAAATCTCACAATCAGTGTTGGTAATTATTCTATCCCTCATGACGTGTTCCCTCTCTGCAAACCCTAGATGAGAAATGGAGGAAGATGTTATGAATGAGACTGGAAGGCTGCCCTAATCCTGTGTGGATAAAAAGGATGTGTTTTCATCCCTGAGAAGGATAAAAGCTGAGATGCGGAAAGGTTTTAGAGTAAATGGTGAAGGTTTTACCAAGAATATCTCCAACAGAAAAGCTTCGGAGAGAAGGGACAAAAAGCACAGCCTAGTTCTGAATGGCCTCAGTTTAAATCTCAGCACTGATCCCTCCACGCTGTGTGTCCTTAGACAAGGTCCCTGACCTCTCTGGACCTTAGTTCCCGAGTTTCTTAAGTAAAGATAACAATGACCTTAACCCAGAGGGTTGCTGTTAAGATTAAATTCTTTAATATTCATGAAGAACTCAGAACTCTCTTTGAGACATAATACAGGCCATGAGTATTTTGGTAAAGAGAAAAATATTAAGGCGCAACTTGTATCTCAGTGTGAACATTTTCTCAGTGTTTACAACTTTGAGAAACCATTAAGTAATTCCAAATTTGCTAGAGAAAGGGGCACTGTCTTTGCCACCCTGTGCCTTTCAGAACTTTGCTGCCCTGAAACAACACATAGCTGATTGGATTGGACAAGGTCTGGGGAAAGATAAAACCTGAATTCAAACATTATTTCATTAATTCATTAGCTTTAGAATTCAAACTCAGTTTTTTCATTTGTGAGAGGACTCCACCAAGGATAGGCCACTAGCCAAATTGCATCTGTCTGTAAGTAAAGTTTGACTAAAACATAGCTTGCTTTTCACATTGTCTGCGGTGATTGTTTTGAGTTATAAGAGTGGAATTACTTACATGAAACAATGACTCTCCTAAAGCCAAAATTATTTACTACCTGGCTCTTTATGGAACCCGTTGATCAAGTTCTAATCTATAAAACTAGAATAATAATATCCCTCTTTGTTTTTTGTTTTTTTTTTCTTTTGGTGTGGGAGAATGAGATAAAATATTATATAAAGCAAGAACTCAAAGCATAGTTGAGACCCGATAAAAAGTAAATACATATTATTATCATTAAACGAAACCAAAATCTAAATCTTATAATATTTTCGTTAGTTTTCTTTGCTTATTTTTGGTCTTTTCTATGCTTTCTCTACGTAGGCCATTCCTTCCAAAACCAGAATATGAGCTTGACTTCCTCTAACTTGGATTAAACTAATCTGCCACCCACTGCACCTGTCTGTGTAGGCAATTTCTATGGTTCTATTCATCCAGCCCTCTGGGGGTTTATGTTCTATTGTTTGGGAACGTTTGTTTTATAGCTCAGTGTTTCTACAGTCATCATACAGAAAGCCCAGAGATTCTTGCACCAATTGGTATTCATTTTTTCATTTTTATTTAGAAATAATAAAATAAGACATAATATATAAAAATATGTACAATCCATGGTTTGTGCAGTACAATAGGAAGACTTCAGATACAAAAAAGACGGCAAATGGGAAATAATAACTATCACGATTCTCAAAGGCCAGGATTGTTCAATTCGCCAGAGCCCAGAGCTAAAGAGATTCTAGTTTGCTGAGGGTTGAGGATGGGGAGGTGTTTGCTCAACACTTTTTTTTTTTTTCACCTTAACATTATCAGACACAGAGTGAAAAGAACTCACTCTACTTCTCAGGACAAGCTTTTTGCCTGTACTGAGCAGCTTATTATAAAATAACGAAATTACACTCATTATTTGCAAGGGGGACATGATGTGGAGGACAGCGCTCATCAGATACACACCAAGATTTGGGACAGGAGTGTCAAGGGAAGAAAGAATACTTACTAGAACAAAAACGATGGATAGCAAACTTTCTCTAGGAATTTAGAAATGACAGCAGTGCTAGGGTGACATCCTTATAATGTCTGATTCAAGTATACTCTTAGAGGGATACAAAACTATTCCTTTCTCGATATTCAAAATAGAATTCACTTTGTCTACATTTTATTTAAAAATAGGATAACTTGGAATTTATGACTCCCTCCCCCCTCAAAATATAGTGCCCACCCAGCTATGGGCAATGATTCTATAAAAGGGAATAAATTCTAAGATAATTCAACAGGGTTTTGCTTGCAATAGAGAAGCAACAAGCATCTGGGAATTGCCCCCAGCTATTCCTGATGAGTCCCTTCCATCTTCACTCTCATAACTTGTGTACACTGGTGACAGAGATCCAGTCGACAAAGACAGATATTTTGAAGGTAAAATGCAGCAATAAGGTTTGTGCATTACCTATGTCTTGGCTCTTGACAAAAAAAAAAAAAAAAAAAAAAAATGCCATTTAAAGCTTGTAATTGTTGAAATGCTAATAACTAGAAAAAGCTTTTGAATGAACAGTCCATGCTGAAATAAATAACAGAAGAACATAGCAATACGAACCTTATAAGGCTGGTAAATATTTGCTAAAACCATGCTAACCAGTAGCATATAGGTACTAGCTCTCTGAAATTGCTGCACTGAAATTATACTTCCTATGGCAATTTTTTCCCTTTACAGATTTCTATTTACATTTGGCTTTAAATATGAAAATATCTGATAAACTTTATAAAATGTACACTTTTAAAAACATAGCTTCTGCAAAAGTTTCTTGAAAAAAAACAAACAAACAAACCTGTGCACCAGAAATTTTAGATTTGTTTTTTCTTTTTCAGAAATAGGTTGAAAGATTTCTCTCCCTCCTTCTTGCCCCCACACCCACCCCCTTTCTCATACATCTCAAGTCTTTTTTAAGTGGTAGCACTGTGTGTTTGGGGGGGAGCCTCTTGTGGAGTCACCCCCACCCCGTTCTCCACCGCATCTTCATTTGATTGACATATCACTGAATACTCTTTGGTTTGATAATTTTCCTTAGCAAAACATCATAATAGCAGCAGCTGAAGCCCTCAATATATCCTCTCACTATCAAAGACCAAATTGTTACCTCTTCTGGAAGTTCTCTTCTCCACTTAATCCCCAATTCCTTCAACTCTTTAAACAACTTCCCAAACCTGCCTTAAAATTTGGGTCTACAATAACGTCCACTTGCTTTGCATCTCTTTCTTGGTTTCAATGAAAATAACACCATGGCTCGCAAACCCATCAAATTAGAAGACTGGAAACAGCAGAAACTGTCATTATTTGTCACAGGCACTGCATTCGGATATGGCTGTTCAAGAACCAGAGCCCATCAGAAGTATCCAATTAGCAAATACATGACTCTAGAACAAGCTGTTTTTTAATGGCATACAGGATATAATACCATCAAGAGTGGATTTGGAGACTCCAATTAAAAAGTCAGTAACCCCAGAGTTCACGAACAGGGACCGTTAAACCAAAAAAAGAGCTCCATCTCTGAATGAGAGCAGGGAACTAAAAAGGAAAAAAAAAAAAAAAGTGTCTGAGCAACACAGTCCCACCAGGCAGGTGGAGCTTCTGGAAAACAATGCAACCTTCTTTTGCAGCAGAAAGAGAAAATAACCCCTTGAGATCATTATCTCTTTTATTTGTGATTATGTTAATTTTTATGGCTCTCTTTGACCCTAAAATACTGAGGCACTTTCACGCCTACCCTCTGCCATAAAAAAAGCAAATTGTCCTGTCCCTCCTGAATACTTGATCTAAAGTGCTGCATCAAAGTGGCTTGTCCACACCTCTTTGCATCCAGGCTTTAGTATTTGTTACCCTCTCTGACCCTGCAGAAGTCACTCCAGACTGATGAGAAGAAGGAGCCTGGAGGCCAGGCCTGGCATCTATCTCTAAGAGACAGTGGAGCTGGTGATGTCCTGATGGACAAGACAGACCTCAGCAGCAGTGGTGTAAACCTACTCATCTTTCACATTGGATGGCTCAGTTCTTGAGGATGCCAGGATGCCAGCAAGGTTCAGTGAAGATCTTATCTTAATGGAATACAATTTGGAATGTGCACAAAGGGAAAACCACTCAATCAGAAAGAGCACATCACCCCGATGCATCTCTCCCCGCATGCATCAGCCTGGCCTGCACCACCCCGCAGGAAAGATCGGGTGTGCCTGTGAATTGTACTTCTCCTTTCTTCTTCTTCTTCCTCTTCAATTAAGAAAGTTGACATGAAAGAACACGATTGCAAAAGCACTACACTTACTAGACTCTGTGTGTATGACGCTGTGTTTTCTGAATAAGGTGCAAAAAGAACCAGTGGTTCAGGGTCTTGCTGAGGTTCAAAGTTATTGTCTCTTGATTTCAAGGCAGCCCGTGGGGCTTTGTTTCTTTATTTAGTATAAGCTTCGTTGTGCAAAAATATGCATTATCTTTGGTATTTATTTTAGGTAGTCTAACTTAAATTTGAGATAACCCATTAGCATCATGAAGAAAAAAAACAAAAACAACCCAGAGGCTACCATTTGGCTAGTGTTACATAATGCCCTTATGTAACCAGAGAGAGAGAGAGAGACAGAGAGAGAGAGAGAATCAATTCTAGCAAACAAATTACTGGCCTCAAAATATCAGGCTCGCCTTTTCGGCAGTTAATAGCCAAATACTTGCCACTTTGAAGCACATCGCGAACTTTCAACAAAGTTCAACACTGACTTAAAAATTACACAAAATTAAAAAAAAAAAAAACTACACTGCAACAAAATTACAATTTGTGTTCATGTAGTTAGCAGCTTTTCAAAGATTAAGGCAGAGTCTTGCCTTTGTTATGCCATTAAAAACATTCTTGTTCCCTATAGAGAAGCATTCTGGATAATTCAAATACCCAACCAAGGCTTGCCTGCAAGTTCAAGTTTTGTTAAAACATAAAACAAAAACATTAAAAAAAAAATCCATAACTTATTCTACAACATAATATGTGCCATCGGGTCTCGGAGAGGCATGTTTAGTGCTAACGATAATCATCAAAGACGCTTACAGCCTTCCTTTGAAACCACTGTGCCTGCCTCAGTCCCTCGTGGCCGCTTGCTCGACCCACCTCTTTACCAGTACCGTCTTCCGCATCACTGTTTTGGGCCTCTGTCCAACAGACTGTGTTGTAAAGTGAATATTCCAGGGAAGGACTCAGTCCAGTCATATCTCCGACTCTCGCCTTAAAGGCCTGGGCTCTAGAGGGACGCTGGCCTGGTTGTGAAGGTCAAGGTCAGGGGGCGTGTCCGTACTAGTGCTGTCTGGAACTCCATTTTCACTCTCGTCTTCCTCTTTGCTTGTGAGGGCGACTTCATTTTCATAGCAAAACGAGTTAGCGTTTGAGAGGATGTATTTCTTTTCTGCTAAGTCTCTGGCACTACAAAGGGGGGTGTTGGGTACCTCGTAGGTTTTGTGGAACCGCGAGTAGTCCACTTTGTAGTAATGCTTCTCTTCAAACAGGACAGGCTCGTAGCGGTGGCCCCAGAGGATCTCATTCGCTAGGTAGGAGCTACGGCACTGGGTGGTCATGGCCGTGGCTTCCACCATGCCTTCCAGGATCACCACGATTTCAAAGTCTGCGTTGTCGATGTCCTGTTTACTCAAATCGTACAGAGGGCTGTCTTCGTCTATTTCGTGGACGATGGTGATCGGGGACACCAGAAATATGCGGTCGATGCCGCTGTCGAACCCCACGTTGATGTCTATCTGATCCAGGGGGATGTACTCCCCTTCGGAAGTGATCCTGGACTTGAGCAGCTGCGCGCGGACGTGCGCCTCCACCAAGTGGCTCTTGCGGAGGTTGCCCACTCGCCACATCAGACACAGCTTGCCGTCCCGCATGGCGATCACCGCGTTGTGGCTGAAGACCAGAGTCTCGTTCCTCTTCTTGGGCTTCGCCATCTTGGCCATGACGGCGCCGATGATGAAGGCATCGATGATGCAGCCCACGATGGACTGGAAGACCACCATGAACACGGCCACCGGGCACTCGTCCGTGACACACCTGAACCCGTAGCCGATGGTCGTCTGGGTCTCGATGGAGAACAAGAAGGCGGCCGTGAAGCTGTTCACCTCGGACACGCATGCTTTGCTCTCTCTGGATGCGTCCAGATCGCCATGGAGCAGCGCGATCAGCCAAAACACACAGCCAAAAAACAGCCAAGAAAGCACAAACGCCAGACAGAAGATAACCAGCATCCACCGCCAGCGGATGTCCACGCAGGTGGTAAAGATGTCCGCCAAGTACCGCTGTCCCTTCTCGCCCACGTTGATGAACTGGACGTTACAGTGGCCGTCTTTCTTCACGAAGCGGCTCCGACACTGTTGTCGCGTGTGCACTTTACTCTTCCCGTTCCCAAAGCCGTTGGCGACCGCCATGGTGGCCAGCTTCATGCCGTCTTCTTCTGAAGACACGATGCTGTAGCGGTTGGTTCGCACACTGCCCATCGCTTCTGCTGGGGACTCCAGTGCGTCTGCTTTGGAAAACAGTCTCAGTTTTTGCAAAACCCTTTGGAGAAACAGTTTTGAATGTTCAGTGAGAACACACAAGCAAAAAAAATAATAATAATAAGTGAGGAGAGATGAGTGTCTCCAGGAGCCTTGGAGTTCTACCAAGGTCTGTATCCTGACATGCAAAGTTACCTTAGTAACTCAGCTGACATCCAGAGAACACGTCCTGGAAGAAAAGAGAGATCATTCATTACAAAAGCAGTCATTCTTAGGGGGGTGAATGGGTGGAGGGAGGGTGATTGGCTGGTCACTTCTATGGTTTATCCTACAAGGGTACCAGTGAATCTTTCTAAAAGCAGAGTATGAATGTCCTAACTCAATAACTAAGAAAATGACATGAAGGCTACATTAACCAGTTTGATGAGAGTATTTCAAAAAGTATATGAAAATACCACACTGTACCCTGTGATTGCATTAATGTACACAGCTATGATTTAATAAAAAAATCTAAAAAAAAAAAAGTCAAAAGCAGTCATTCTTAAAGAGTTTGACTGCACAGTATGTCCCAACAAAAACACATAATCAGACATAGTCGAAAATACTTTACATGGAATTACAGGGTTTTTAATTTTTTATATTCTAAAAATCATTTTTAATTTTACCTAAAAGCATAAAGTCATTAAACATAAAATGAATCTCTGACAGTTTTTTAACCAAAATTTCAGGTCCCTTTCCCCTTATTTTTTACCACTGAACTAGAATGTTCTGTTTTTTTTTTTTTTTTTCAGGTCTATTTCTCCTTTCTCTTCTTCACTACTTGCTAAAGTTCCAGATTACTAACAAGAAGAAAGGCTTTCTGATTCCAAGGTTTGTTGCCAAAGCTTTTAGAACTAGGACATGTCGAGAGAACTTTTCATGTGAACGCAGCATTGATATTAATTGCATTGCACTTGCATTAGGAGAGACTCTAAGAGCTCTTGATGACAAGGCTGAAAGCAGAAGACACAGGCTATTTTGTTTCAATGACATAATTGTGTAGACAGCCCTTATAATCATCTGAAATGGACCCCAATTTCTGGATACTGTTTGGGCTTGTTTCATCACTTCCTCCGTTTAATGCAGTCACTATGTAGAAACGTCTGATGCATCTCTCCTAGTGCCACTGATTCCAACTTGAAGACCAAGCAGGCTTGCTCTGGGGAATAGAGTGCAATTCTGTTGCCTAGAAATAAGAGTCCTGAAATCCTCTTGAGATGGGACTGCCAGATGTAATGATAGGCTAGGAAGTAAGCACCATTGTGTCAAAGGAACAGGTCTTTGGTGGATTGAGATAAGGCAGGAACTCATTTCATGTGGGTCCAAGGCTGTGTTCTCCCAAACAGAGACAACTTTGTAAGGGGCAGGTCATAAATGCCAATCTACTCACTCTCACTTTGAGGGCCGCTGTTTGCCATAGGTTCCTATGGAGAAGGCACTCACCTTTACTTAATATGAACAAATAGTTTTCAGTTTTCCTCTAATTGCTCATTCTACCCTACGTGAAAACTATCTATTTAACTTTCCGTATTTCCTCAGAGAAAGTATTTTTTTTTTTCCTTGACAACTAACAGAAGCCTAAGAGAAAGTCTAAGGTGTTTACCATACTCACATTAACAAAACTGATATTACCTGGAACTAAAAAAGCAAAAATGATTCTGAACTTTTCCAACAACCAAACGCATCTCCTGTATTTAAAGGGAGGAAATGACCCACACATGGCAAGGATCAGAAATTTGTGGAGGTCCTTCTGATGAAGACTCCACTTTTTCTTTCTGCTAAAGCCGGTGAGATTAAGCAGTTAACAAAACCAAGCCAGCTGCAAACAAATAAAGCAAACCTTTTATCTTGTGTCCCTGCATCTCCTTAAAAAGAGGCAAGGTGCATTGTCTTTGAAAATGCCTGGTTACAGTCTTTTGACTTCTTCGTCTTTATCCAAGTTATTATGCAAGAATGTGCCCCAACACATTTTTCCTGAGATTAGTCATCTATGAAAATTGCAATGTGTGTTACATTTTGGCAGCTTTTGACACCTAAATGATGCCCGATTTGAAAGTGCCTTTGAATTACTTTATAAAAAGAAGTTACTGTGCCTTCCTAACCTTCTGCCTGCTTCAATGTTTCGTCTGCTTCTCTGTGAAGTTTGCACTTGGACAGAAGACACAAGAATCCGATTCCTCGGGGTTCCAGGTTCTAGATATGGAAAGCATTTTTTAAACTACTATTTCAGCTTAGCTCCCGTGAAACTGACAATCATTTCTATACAGAGATAGCAACACCAAATACAGGTATACTTTCAAAAAAGGGTGGGGAGGGGTGGGAAGAAGAGCCTCCTCTAAGAGTGTTTTGTGTCCTTGAGCTCTGATTGACTTCAGAACCTTGGGTTATAAGCTGACACCAAGAAATTCCCTCTCCATGATTCAGAACAATCCTTCCTTCTGACTTAACGTTAGGGGCCATGAGTAGACAGTGTTGAATTTCTTCTGACTTCTTTTCCGCACTCCTTTCACATTAAAACACAACAACTGTATGAAATCTAAAGACTGAATTATGACTTTCCAAAAATCTTGACCCCAGGACATGGGTTTGAATTCCACAAATCACACAATACTAGCTTCCTACGAATAGCTTTCCACATTTAGAACCTTGAAAATAGCCTGTATTGAGTGACTATTATAGTCTTATTTCCATTGCTAATGACAGAATTTGTTACACATGTGGAGCGTCATTTAGAAATTTTACCATTTCTTCCTGGAAAGAGAAAAAGACGTTTTCTTTTCTTTTTTCTTTTCTTTTTTTTTTTTTTTTGGCAAAATGGAAACTTTTGTCACTTTAAATAGATATTCCCCCAAACAAATTTCTATGTGGGCATACACATTGTGTATATCCAGGCTTCTGTGGAGCTGGTTACATAGCAAATCAAAGAGCCTGTCAAAGCCTAATAGGACAGTTGTCTTAATATTTCACTGGAAAGACTGCCTTTACTGTTAACCTTCCCACATGCCTGAGTGACTTGTATCAAACAGAAAACTTCCGTGCCCATTCCTCTCTCATTAGAAATCAATTTGTGACCACCTGGTAAAAGGTTTCATTAAAAAATAAAAAAGGACTTTTATGTAACTTTATTTCAAGCATACACTCAAAAATAATGTTTTGGGAAAGAATCAGTGAGGAGTAAAGGAGAGTGCTAAGTGATTTTACTTCTTGGTGGAGCCAGCGCCAGAGAATTGGTATTGGGCCTGATGAACGATGTATGAGTTACCCCTTGTGGCCAAATATTCAGGGTCTTGCATATAAATTTAATACACACAGATAATCATTTTACCCAGGCTATCACCAATGATGTAGAAAGTATTTCTGGGAAATTGAGAGGCTACATGTGGTGCTGTTCATGTTAAGACTATTTATAGGCTGAGCCAAAATTAAGCATAAGCAATGGAAAAAAAATAGTTCAGTGTTTCAGTCTTAGGTAGATGTTCAAGGAGAGAGGGCTATTGATAAATTCAAGGTCAAGGAGGTCACATGATACAAATGGGGGGATCCATATTACTTTCACTATATGGGAAATATTCCAAGACAGTTCATAAAAAACTAAAAATTAAATGATCATGAAGAATAAATGAGAACCAATAAGTCCCATGATTGGGTCCTGGTATGCAGTGACTATGAAGGTTTCTAAGGGTAGGGTAGGAAATAAAGATAGTGAAAGAAAATGGACTGGGCTGAGCGAGAGGTCTGCTAATGAGAGTTTAGAGGAGCTATTCCCCAGCTGACGCCATATAGACCAGCCTGAGTGTGCTGTGGGCACATGTTGCTATGTGAGCGCAACTGCTAGCAAAGCAACCTCTTAGAGGCTTGGTAAACAGAAGGGAGGGGGAGGGGAAATGGGAGGGGAGGGGAGTACTCATTTATGTGAGCACTATTTCAACAATGGCATTTGCATATGCTAACAAATATACATGTTTGGCAAACAAAAACATACACTTAAAAAAAAAAAAACTTAAAGCAGTTAAAAGATCTGCTCAGGTAACATTGTGGTCAGTCTTTCAGTCTACTCCAAAGTCCTACAAGGACTGTCCAGCGAACCAAAGATTCTATAACAGGCAAGTCAAAGAATGTAGAAAGACTCTGTTCTTTTAAAAAGAAAGAAAGACAGCAAAATAACCCGAAAAGCCAAATTCACAGGCATTTAGAACAATTATTCCTTATAGATACCAAGTAACACAAAAAAGTACCACCAACATAAGAGAGGGGAAAGGCAGAAAGCCAAGGAAAATGACCTTGACCCCAGCCGTCACCCCTCCCACCATCCTTGCAGGGACATCTCTTCCTCTTTTGGAGCACCAGGATTTTTCCAGATAAAGGCAAATATAAATCAAACATTTGGAAGCGAGCAGGAAAAGCTGACGAGTGTAAAGGTGATGTACAACAGACCTACCACAGTGGTTAAGGAAAGGAAATGTGACTATTATGAATGCGAAAAGAAAACAAATTGTAAAAAGCAATATGTGGTCTTTGCATATCCAAAGCAGGCTTTCAAGTAGCACCTTATTTCTTAACAGGTAAATCCCAGTTCATGAAAATCCCCAGAATCACAGCCTTTTCCTAGTTACCACCCTATCAACCTCCTTAATGAGATAGAGACATTAAACTGCCCAATTTCCTATCTCTATTTTTTTTTTCAATTGTCATGATGAATCCAGGCTATGATGCAATCTTTTCGCAGAACGACCTCGTTTTGATCTTTCTGCTTCCTAAAACCATGCTGTTTGTAAGCTAGGTATTACCACCATTATTTACTAAGAATATCAAATTGCTTAGGGGAGAGTGATAATAGGATGTCAAAGTTTTGCAGTCTGTGGGCTCTAATCCAACTCCAGCTCCCACTGACTTCCCCCAGGAAAGCAACTTTGAGAAGCTCCGTCTGTGTGCAACTCTATGGAAGCTACACTTGAGGCAATGACCAAGGGGGGAAAAAAAGAAGAAGAAGAAGACGCCAAGCATCAAAAATAGTGTTGAGTCCTAAATCCTGAGGTTGCCAAGGGTTGAGACCAGGGCTCAAGACTTTCGCCCGGACCCCCAACCACCTTTTTTCGCCCTAGGAGTGAGAATGAAACGCAGACTCTCTCGCCATTGCCTCCAAACCCAGTATCTCGCTACAGCTGGTGCACTGGAAGTTATGAGCACAAACAGATGCTGCAGAGAAATCTGTTTCTATTGCTCAACTGTTCCAAGCATGTCTCAGTATTTTTAGCTCTGGGGATGTTCTGGTGCGCACACAAACTATATAGGCACGATCTGGGACTCCGGAGCATGAGTGAGCGCTACAGCAGTGTGACAGCTGGCCGCCTCTGGAGCAGCGAGCAGCACGGCAGGGTCGGGTAAGGGACGGCGGCCCCCGTCCACTCCCCAGGACACACAGGCAGCGAGAGAGAAGAAAGGAAGAAAACACAGCAGCCCTTACCTGTTGCTGGCGCTGGAGCATGGGGACATGGAGTGGAAGTGGGGAGTACAGAGGCATATAAGATCCAGTAGTTTGTAAAAGCGAGTGAGCCAAAGCAAGCCAGAATTCCCAAGACCCAGCTTGCCGGCGCCGGGAAGGCTGCGCGCTGGCCAGGGTTCCAGTGCGCTCTGCAATAGCCTGGGCTCTTTTGAGGCGGTTCACATGCGATACCGGCCTTCCTGGCTCCGCCCCCGGTCGCCGCCCGCCAATCGCAGCGCGCCTGTCCGTGCGCCCGGCCCCCGGGAGCCGGGGCGGGGAGGGGAGGATGCTACACCCGCGGCCCGCGGCGCAGCCAGCGAGGGGAACCTGCTGCCGCTTCCTACCCCTCCGCCCTCCGGAGCCTGCTCGGGGAGTCGGCCCGGGCTGCGGAGGAGGAAGTGGCGGCCCAGCTGGGACAGCAGCAGGTGGGAAGCTCCACGGCCCGGCTTTTACGGCTGCCTAATTGCAACTTGGCCTTGGGCAAAGCTTCCTTACCCCTCTCCGAGCCCCACACTTCCCGGTTTCTCTTCTTGGTGGCTGCTGTGCTGTGCGTGCCCCTCGAAGGGCCTGCGACGTGCCAGTGGCGGGGCCGGGCGTTTGCTGCCGGGAGGACCGCACAGCAGTCCGGGCGCGTCTCCCACTGCCCTGGCCCCCTCCCTCTCAGGCCCCTGGAACACCCCCACCCCCACCGCGCAACCTGCTGCGCGCGGAGGAGCCGCTTATTAAATGGGGGAAAGGGACCCGGACGCGCGCGCACAACCCCGCAGGACTCAGACGCTCGCGAGTGTGACCACTACCTAACTGCTTGGTTATTCCTTCTCCCGACTGCTCGTGAATTACTTACAAAGCGCCTAGATTTCTCTGAAGGGTGAACGACTCCTTCCCTCTCTCCTCATCCGCCCTCAATCTCTTTCTCCACCACCGCCTGGCACGCTCTGCTGATCTAAAATCAGAACAATTAGGAGAGTAATGAATTTTCTGGAACAGCAACTCCTACAGACACTCAGATCTGCCCTCTCATGAGCGCCTCCCAGCCCTCACTCCCAAGAACCAGGCAAGAGCACGCAGACCCTTAAAAATCAGCCTCGGTGGTGCCGGGGTCTGCACCCTGGAACTTTTACCAATTAATCCGTGTGTGTGTGTGTGTGTGTGTGTGTGTGTAAATCTAAGAGTAAGTGCATATTATCTCTGAGTATTTTGGTGTCATAACGAAGGTTTGCTCCTAAAGGACAGGATATATTTAGGAGTGTTTTCCTGCCACTGAGTTGTTTTTTTCTTTTAAGTTTGTTTCCTCAAGCGTCTTCAGTACAGTTTGTTTAAAACCTCTAAAGGCCTCCTCGAGTCGCCAGACTACTTCCACAAACTAGATCACGTTCTGAACGGCAGAGCCGGGTGGATTTTTAATGTATAGCCGAGGAGACGCTGACAATTCGAGGAAAGATCTGCGCCGGTACCCACCCCCTTTCTTCATATCCTCACGTGGCCCCTAGGAGGTGCTGGTGAAATAAGTCTGCTTAGATTTTTCAGATACGTACTTAGTTCTGGGTTACTAAGCCTGCCTCCATTCTTAGCACTGAGCAAGACATTTAAATTAAAAGGGCGTGGAATAGGTCATGCACGCGGCGTGACTGTTCTGCTGGCCAAATGCTGTTGCTGTCCCTTTTCATTTGCGGAGATTATACAATACACCAAGCTTTTTTATTAACCCTTCTTGCCATGTTTGTGGGATTAATGAATGCCTCCCTCAAAGGAGGTCTACTTACATTTTATTAAGTCATGCATTGTTTTTAAACTGCTTGAATGAACTCTGTAAAAGAAATGGGCGTCTGTCTAAGAACCCAGGCTGTAGCCCAGAGCAAAAAAAAAAAAACCTGGAGATAGACAGATTAACTGTATGTGAGCCCAAGAGAATGGGTGAACAGCTCGCTCCACTTCAGTAAGCTTCTGAAATGTGCTTCCTCCTGGATTTATTCGAAGAAAAAGTCAGAGATCTAATTAGCCCCTTAAAACATATTAAGCCTAAATGGAATAAGGAAATCAATCATTTATATATTTTCTCTCCTTTATTATGATTCAATTGGTGTATCCGTAGATGGCTAAGAATTTTCCAAATCATATGAATTCGGAGAGGCAACACATTTTTTCCCCCTGGTAATAAGCTCTATTTAACAGTTCATAACCCAGAAAGGGATGCAATTTTTTCTGGAACTTGGATTCCTGTTGTTTTACATTAAATAAAATGAATACATGACAGGCCAAAACAGTTTGATAGGAGAGGAAAATCCTTAAATAAATGAGCACAAAGTTATGTTCATAATTGACCATATAGATTTAGCTGTGGAGGTACATTTATAATGTACCCCAGTCTCTCTCCACATCCTTTCACCAACAGCCTTTCTTCCCAGGGACTGAAAGATGTACGCTTATTTCTCGAAGGAGACAGTTTGAGAAAAGTTAATGATTTTACCAAGCAGCTTCTCAATCTGATTAGAATCTTTACCTTAATTATTTTAGCTAAATAAGGAAGTACGAATGATTAAATTTTGTAACTGAACCTTTGTAAATGTTGGCAGCATGGGGTAATGTCATTGCTTCATTTCATAAAGACAAAATATCAATGTCATTTTAATGAATAAATGTCTTTTTATCATGTCTGTATTAGGAAAGCTCTGGTGTGCCAATGCTTTCAGTACTTGGGTAAACACTTTTGGGAGCCACGCACGATACAGATTTCTCTATTTAGAATCTGTCCTTTTTGGCTGAGTCAGGCCTTATTTAGCAAAAATCCCCATTAGTTTTGGACACCAAGGCAGCTCAGTGTTGGGATCCATCTGTGTATTAAATTTTTCCAAGGAAATGACAATTGTGCTCTTACTGATTCTCTCCACGGTAACCACCTATAATATCTGAGCCAAGTATTAGTCACAATCTCGATCTGTAGTCAGGCTGTGAATAGTTGTGTGATGCAAAGGGTGATTGCCCTGGGAGCAAAAATCTTTTTTGCAATTAAATAAAGATCCCCAACAATTAGACTTCTTATCAGGCTTCCATTAGCTATTTATACACAGTTCAATTTCACCAGGATAGATGGCAAAAAGCTTGTGGCCTTTGCTTCTGTCGAGTATTAAAAACCAGTCACTAATCTTTAAAAAAATAATGAATAGCAATAAATGATAAGTAAATCATTACCAGATTGAATTGACATGTAGACAGGATGAGTTTGCAACCTGCTGCTATGAAGACAAGCCACTAACTGTGGTATTTTAAGGCACGGAATGTCATTTTATATATAGGGAAACAGTTTTGCCTTTAATAATTACACAGGTTCACCTACCACATTGGGAATATTTAATCTTCATATTAAATTCAATGAATGTATTTGTTGCATAACTATCTAGTACTTTCGCTATATGTGAAGTGATAGGAAAAACAGAAAAGTCAGTTTTAGGGGGAATAGTTTCCATCAGGAGTTCCAAATTTCTCACTGAGAAGACAGATTATGCAAAAGTGAAACATTTAAAGGACCTAAAGGACCGAATGGCACTAAAATGCAGCCCATTATTAAGTACTCAAATAGGTCAAGCAACAAAAACAAAACAAAACAAAACAAAATAATTGTGGAGCGTTTCTGAGGACAGGAACAGAGTTCATATTTATGGGAAAGTCTGTATGCTGAAAGCTTTAGGATGAATAACGTATTACCACGTGTAGCAGTGATAAGCAGGCTGAGGACACACCAGACCAGAGGGTTGCCTCATTTAATTTCCCAAATGCTCACCATGCCCCCAGATCTTTATCAGCTTCTAAGAATTAAGTTATAAGTTGCTTCTAAGAATGTCAGTGGAGTGATGAAAGGAGTACTATTTTTTAATATAATATAGGTTTTGAATAAGGATTCAGTACGTTTATAATAAACCTAAGCTCTTTTAATTTTACCTGCAATCCAGTGGGGCAGAACCATTTCCTCTGCATCAGATGACCCTGTACTAAGCTTACCGAAGCCTTTCTGCTTGTTTTTCCTTCTTCACCGTCAATGCGAGCCTTCATTTCTCATTTTTTTGCTTCTGAAAATGTGCCTTGAATCTGTCAGGCTGTCACCGTGCTCTGTCTAATTTGTTGATTCTAATCTGCCCTGGGCTGAGAAATTATGTAACCCAGGTTGTTAAAGTGAAAGCAAATATAATCTAACACTTCTGAAGATGTATTTTTGAAACGGTATGAGCAGAGGCTGAATTTGGAGTTACCTTCTCTTGGTCCATTTCCTTTTTGGGTAAAAAAGCTTCAGGATATGGATTTATGGCATCTATTTTAGCTTCTTGGGGCATTAAAATTCCTTAGTTCCTGTATTTGCTGTGTTACAAATAGTCGAAGAAGGCTTCTGGGTATGTAAGACACTTGTGTGTTTACAACTGTTTATATGTATAAACACAAGAAGATCATATACTCACTTATTTAGAAAATATTTGTTCACAGCATGCATTTCTCACTATGACCTTTATTTTTCATCAAATAGGTTAAAAACAACAACGATAAGAGGTACTGGCCTTTAGGAAGATCAGCCTTCCAGAGCAGCCAGGTTATTATTTAGTAAATTACCTCTTCTGTCATTCTCTGAAAGATTTCATTTCTCTCACGTGAGTGAGACAATTACAGCCTGAAAATAGTCACTTTAGGGCTGGACCCCACATGACTGCCTCTCGCCACAGAGATTAAAATGACCGTTTCATCTGGGTCATCTCTGGTGCACTGGCTCTATCAAAGGTAACTAGGCTGGCCTGGGTTCATCCTGAATAACCACGGACACAGCTCCTGAGGCTGGGTAGCCAGGCCCGGTCATTGATTAGAGGAGCTTCCAGATGAGAAAATACCAGTAATGTGCAGACCCATCACCACCACTGGGAATAGGCAAACCTATTACTGGAGGCTTAGTAGTACCCACATTTAACAGTGGTATTGAACAGTACTAATAAGAACTACCACCTATGAAGGGCTTTCTAGGAAGTAGGCACTACTCTTATGCTACAAAGATGAACTTTATTGTTGTAGATTGCATAGACATTTATACGCAAAAATGAAAGAAAAGGAAGGGTAGGAAGGAAAGAGAGGAGATGAGAAAATGTTCTTGGGGAAATAATTAGTTCTAAAGGAGACACGACTCACT